CGAAAGGACTCAACACAAACTAACTTGTAAGGATTTCATGATTCCCAAAAAAAAGCATAGACGAAACCCCATCAAAGATAATTTATTTGATGAATTAGAAAACTACTAGCAAAGAGACCTGCCAAGCTATCTCACTGCAAAAACAACAACTCATTCTACACTTATAAGGCGTTTTCCTTCTCTATAAGTCAAAAATGGGGCAGTGAGGAGTAGGAAGAAAAAGGCGGTACCATAAGTCAGTTTCACTTCCGCCCGATAAAGAAAAGAGCAGAAACAGCCAATAAGTTGTGCCTCAGCATGGCGAGCAAAGAGGACAGAGGTCGTAGTGTTTGCGTGACAGATGAAAATAACTTGTGAAGGGCATTGCCGCTTTGATACGGCTTCGATAGTGAAGGGACGGCGTGCAATGGAAGGAGCTAAGTGTCAACAACTAAAGCCACTCACAAATTAAAATGTGGCTCTAGGTAGATCCGCAACTGAAACTACTGTTAGCTTGGAAAGTTTCCTTCTAGTGTCAGCCACTTGAGACACTTGAACGCCCAGTCTCTGTAAGAATACCATTTCCATTTTACACTAATGAAATACCCAAAAGTTTGTGCCGAAAATACCATAACCGGCATAGTGCGCAAAAGAGACCTCAGAATTTTGATAAGCTCCACGATCTTTTGACCGTTTGTTACTTTGGCAGTACCCAAAGTACTTCAATTTTCCATTCAAGGCGCACGATCAAGTGCAAATACACTCTGTCCCGAAGGTCTGATCGCATCCGAGGCTTAGCAAAGCGTAATTTCGAGACAGAAATTGGGTTAATGGAGGCAATGGAAAACACCTCTAGGGTACGTTATCAGGATGGAGGGGAATAAGGAGCCCATTATACTGCTGGAATTGAAGTCATGCCAGTCCCACACAATGAAACAGAGTTCCCATTTAGGGGAGCAAATTGTCCAGAAAGGCATTGCTTACTTTGGCAGTGTCACATCGCCCCTATCTTAGAGACTTGTTGTCAGTGGTTAATAAATTGAGAATTTGGTAAAGTACAAATGAGATGCTACGCCAACTAAGTCACTTCATAATGTCGTTTAGGTTCTTCAGTGAAAGGCTGTTTGCATTCCACAGTTTAATTCCCTAAAAGTAGGGTGAACTTGGTTATAAAAGGGCAAACGGGGAGGCATGAAAAGTCCTTGCTGTAAAGAGACCCGCTCATAGCAACATAACCAGCTGCTACGCACGAGGAGCTCACAATCGTGGCAAAACCAAACCATTTTGCCACAGCGACTGATAGGCGTCGATGTACGCACTATCATTGATATCCAAAGCTAAAGACGTGCAGAGAAGGAGCTGCTGACTTAAAGTACTATGAAAGGCACTGGTCACAAACCATAAACAGAAATTTAAGGAGAAATAGCAAAAAGATCCGGAAATCCTGCTTACTTTAGTAGAATGTACTGAGTTGTGAGATAAAAAACCGAGTCCTTGCTACTGCCAAGGTATTGGGTCTCGGACCTTTTGTGCGTCAATAGGTGAGACGCAGGTTTTACTCTCTCACCTCCATTAGATTGGACTAGTCGCCGGGCATGCAAGCTTCCTCGAACCGGAGAAGGCCTACGGTCTCTTCATCACCACCACCTTGCAAGTTGGCACCCCCGGCCTGGTAGTCATCTCTCTCTCCGACTGCCACGAACAATTCGCACTAGCTCTTGCGAATATAGCCAACATTCTGAATCTTGGTATGTTTCTTTCATCCATCATAAATACAAATGTTGAGCGACTCAGTAAAGCCCCAGCAGACCACATTCTTTAAGCAAAAACTTGTATCCAATACCCCAAAGAGTGTCCGAATCCACCAGTTAGTAATGTCAAAATCACAATGTAATATCGTTATACCATTCCCAAAGAGAATGTTAGTATGGAGAGAAGTCGGAATGGCCACAAGGAGATCATTCTACAAACCTTATTCCCATTAAATTAACAAGCAGCATCGAATCTAAGACAAGGTCACTTGGAAAGCATCGCCTTCTTTGTTCACTCCTAGAAATAGGCAAGGAGCACATTCTAAGTGCGTTGAATACTCCACAGAGAGATCACATATTAGTACCTCCAGCTCAACAGTTTTGTTTCCGACAATCTTTCCACTGGAAGGTGAAAATGAAAAGAGATCTCTAAACGAGTGCAGACCCGCTGAGGACTTTGGTCAACTAGCAGATTCACAAACGCTTGCATTACCCAAAGTTCTGGAGTAAATTGCCCTTAAAGCATTATCATTCCCATGTCACAAAATGATGGTAGCCCTACTCCGGAAACAAGGAAATAACAACAATCCTTCCGTGGGCACTTTTGAAGTACTCCACATTTTGCCTCCCATGTTTCACTTCATTGGACTTCGCTTCCTTCAAATTGGCATAGGACGTTAGATGCATTTAACGCCTTGCTCCCTTGTTGCTATGACCATTCATGAGTGATTTAACAATGTTTCCCGACCCTTCTGTGCTAGTTTATCTAAAAACTACTTATTGTGAACAGTAATTCTAACTTCTAACAAACTCACCGCGATTTTTGTTGACAGCAGCATCACGAGACTAGTCTATCGCCACATTGAACACCTCAGCTAAGAGTCTAGACAGGACTGCACCCACTCAAGGTCTAAGGAAACAAGACCATGGAAATCGCAATAAAACGGAGACCATAAAATTTAGCTATTCAGAGGACTAGTTTCAAACGAATGCAGTGAAAATGGGCTGCCAATTTAGCCATTAAGTTGGTTTACGTACAGATAGAAAAAGAACATGGAAGCCCCTCCTTTAATTATTGCTGCGCGTTTTTGCGAAGCATCGGACACGGGTATAGTAACAACCTGCTATCGCCGAAGCTAACGCCTCTAAATGCATGCCAAAGCATAAATGCAACCTCGACATCAATTAAAACAATTTCCACCTCGATGAATCCAAGCATTTATATTGCGAAGTGAAGAAGCAGGCAACTACTTCTGTGCAGACCCATTAAGACCAGAAACAGAGGCTTCTGCAGTTCTTAGCAAAAGCATTTAACCAAGGCAATAGAATGAAACTTCCACATGTGATGGCGGTTGGACTACGACCGAAAGGCGCTCAAGCATGCAATACATAGACAAAACGGTTATTTGGATGGGTCATGGAATCGATGACCAACAAGCCCGTACCCACGTTAGCAATACAAGTAGAATGGCAATGCGATGTTATTTCGCCACCACAAATTTCTATAAAATCCCACAAAATCCTCGAAACACATCCTTCTGAGTCATTGTCACACGAAATAATGTTTTGGCATATTTGTTAGTTCCAAAAATAAGCTGAGTATCCATCCATCCCGTTAGAGTTCCACAGAGCAGAGACAAAGCTAGAACAATATTTCCTTCCCTCAGCTACTGCACCCCTGTGGACACATACCGTGGGGACCTATGTCTTCAAACAGCCAATACTCCTGCTTCGATTCTGTGGCTTAATCACTCTAGTCGCATTAGTGCAAATCTTCGGTTTCCTATTGCGTTATGTGCGCTCCTCCATCGCTAATGCCGTAGTGACGTGGTTCTCCAGGCCCTTTCTGCTGCTCGCCGCCATTCTCTTCATTACTCTCGGTGTCTACATTAACCAATACGTCTTCCAAGCACCTCAACAAATCACCTACCTTCAACATGTCAGCTTAGCACTTCTTTTCATGCTCACCACAAGTTACGCTTGTGGTTGGCTAGCCGGTCTCATTCTCAACCTGAGGGTACAGCGAAGTCGGGCGTTAGCCAACCAAGTATCCGTCTACCAGGGTTTTCTCGCAATTCCCCTCCTACGAATTTGTGTACCCTCTCCCGAAGGTGAATTGGCCTCCGCTACAGCCCTGTGGACTGTCTTCCTAACACCCGTTCCTCTTATCTACAACGCAGTTCTCAAGGTGGGTAGACAATGTCACTAATACTTAAATCGACCTAAGTAAACATTATTCTTTCCTTCAGTTTACAATTCGAACTATCAAATCAGCCTACAAGGCTCACAAAGTGCGAATGCAAAAACGCGGTCCCACTGCTGTCCTTTGTGCTGATTCCCTAGCAGCAGTTGCCTTCACATCAATGCTACTTCCAGAGACAACAGAGCACAAGCACAAGACCACAACCGCCAGCGATGGGCTATTCTCTGATGAGACTTCAAATAGCACCATCAATTCAGCTCCAGTGGGTCAACGGAAATGCAAGAGCACTATTGTAAGACCAGCAGCCTCCGTCGTGTTCTTTCTCAAAGATAGTGTTAGTGACGTGGAAAATCGCGAAAGAATTTTGGAAGCCCTGGCACGCAAGGGCGGAGTTAGTGTGAGCGATAAGGGAAGAAGAAATGGAGGAGGAATGCAAAGAACACCACACCATCATCCCAGATCAATGGACGATGCCTGTAGCATTCCGGGTGCGTGGGGTGGTCCAATCAGTTGTGGTGGCGGTGGTGGTGGAGCAGCAGGACCCCCAATGCCACCGCCACCGCCCTCGTCCAAACCGCTCTTTTGAATAATTACTACTACTATCACTGATACAGACACATTGTTGTTTCCATCGGATAAAAAGGGCGAATTATTTGGCCTCCATCTAGATTTGAAAGATCTGCTGGCGTAACTATTTGAGAGCGACCATTGATGAAGGAAAAGCAACTTCGTAGGAGATGAATAAACTCCAACTTACTAGAATTCATTAAGCATTCTTCATAGCTCACTCACTAAAAATCAGTTTGAAGGATGAATCTTACCATATATTGCCAGAAAATAAAACTGATATAAAAGACAGGAGGTAACTCAATCTCATAGAAATAAAAGGATTGTTAGGATCAGTGGGAATAATTTAATCAATGAAAGTGGGTATAAACAGTACCAATGTGCAAATAACTCTTCTCCCGCAAGATTCCCGATACAAATGGCAAAAAAGTGCCGTTTTAAGCATTCCAAACTCGAGTTTCCAACCAAAGAGACCAAAACCACAAATATTAGCCGAATCTCATGGTGGAACGGCAAAGAAAGTTTGCAGAAAAGGTATAAAAGCAACGAAACTATGCATGGTTGCCCTTTCGAAATTTGCGCAAGCTAATTTTTAACAAGAGGTTTAACATTTAGCTTTAGAATGTTTTGGCCGAACAATAAGTTAAAATCAAAGCTTAACGGAAATATAATCATCAGTATTTATAGGCCAGGCGAAAGGAATCCACCTCTTGCCCACCACAAATAGAACCGCTGATAATATTCAGTGAAGATATTTGTTTCCAAAAATACCCTCTACATAAGATTCCAGGACTGACAGAAATTACAAAAGATAACAAAAGAACTACTACCTACTAGCCATCAATTAAAAATCCAAAGTGGTGCGAAGTTAAAGTGGAACGTAATAAAGCACCTCATCGATTTACTTAGAAAATCAAACTGCGGTGGGTAGTTTTAAAAACATAAATCGAGCTTTGCGAAGATGTGCAAACGTTCAGTTGAACAAATTGCACACAAATGGGTTCGACTGAATGAAAAATATGTTTGGCATAATCACAATGGTTTCGAAAATAATTAGCAAAAAGATATCCTGACAGATCCCAATCAATAACAAAATACTTACCGCGCAAGGAGAGAAATTGCTTCCCTGAATCAACCTTCGACACCATTTGGGCTAATTCTGTACTAGTGTGTAGACAGGCTATTAAATTACGCAACTTACAGCTGTCGCTAGTTTAGGAAATCAAAACCAATTTTCCAAGTAAGTATAAATCCATAGAACAGTTAACATCATTTGTACGTAGTTCGACCTATTAGGATCAATGATTTTGCACATGTCAGGAAGAAAACAAATAAGCTAGTGAATACGAATCTTCGATCGCTTACCGACCTACATTCCTAACTTATGTTAGTAAAATACTAACACCAAGCCAATGGAAACATATGGATTTAAATAGTTGGTGCGAAAAATTTTGTTTAATTATCCGTATTAATAGCGGTCACCTTTACGTCTTTATCGGTCAGATGGCGTTTGGTCTTTATCAAAGTACCACCTCTTTTTTGCTCAAGTTGTTTGTGTTTAGTCTAGCAATATGCTTCCACCATTAACTAGGAAAATCTGTACTTACTGTGATACTTTTGTTATGAGATCATCTGGTGTCTGGCGGTGACGTTGGTATTCGTCTTAATGTTTATACGCACGGGCTAAACTTCGGGTCAGGTCAACGCTCAGATTCCCTTTAATTGGCTCGGATTATTGCACTCTTATACCTGATGGGAAACTTTAGGTATTCCAGTTATACTTGATAACTGTCATTTTTCACTCGCCTTGTTCTTGGGTGTAATTAAGGATATAGACCATAGAAAGACACGAAATACCTGTGTAATGCACATGTTCAGCATCCTAATGCCTCCTGTTCGATGTATACGTGCGAAAGTCCCATTAAATTGCAAGCGTTTTTAACAGGCAGAACAGAATTTTGGCTTTAGCATAGATAGGAAGCAATCCTCATTCTCATCCCGTCTGTTGTTAGAGATTAAAGGTTTTTTTAGGTTCTGCCATAGTCTACGCATATTCTACAAACGTTTTACTTTTTAATATTACATAACGCAGTCTCAAGTGCGCAAATGTCCATGCGCTTGACAATGGAATACGCGGATGAAGCTAGTAGTCCTCCGCATTTGACTTAACCCACATAAAAAATGATTGCAAGATTATCCTGAATTGATGAAGGCCGCTTGTTCCTAGTGGTGATACTCGCATTATAACTCATTTTGTATAGAAGGTTATACCTGCCTCATTTTTAAGTATGCGTGACTAGACCGCAACACCTCAAATTAACCCATTTTCTCACAAAAAGAATTAGTCCTTTGGCCTTTGTAGTTTGTAACCTAATGACTGTCGATTACGCTCGTGCACCAAAAAATGGCATTGAAGACTCCAGAAAAGTATTTCTATCCAATAACTAGAGTTGCCTGGGAGTCAAAATCTACGGGTTCACGAATATAAATCTAAAAGATTAAAACAGCCAACCTTGACTGATTACTGAGTTTGAAAGTAAACTAAATATTTGCTTGACTGTTTGCCTCGATTGTATCCCTTCAATGATAAAGATGAGATGGTTGAGGAGGTAGAGATGGTGCTGCCATCCAGTCCGGCTGGCGACAGGTGCTAGGAGGTTCTACCTTTGCCTTTTGATGTGAAGACGATATACTATGTAGTGATCACATGGATAATGGGCGTGAATGTGGGTTTGTGGTGCTCATGGCTTTGCCATTAAATGCTATCAGTTGCATGTAGGTGCGCGTCTCCCACACTTAAACCAATCACTCCTTCCTCGTGCACATGTTTGATTGCATTTACATGACTGTTGGATGTCACAGTGCTTGGGCCAAATGTACTGATTCCTATGGCAGTGAGGATTATGATGACGAAGGTGAGTGGCCTTTGTTTGCCCAATGAACGCCACAACACACATGCCTAACTTAAACAGTAGTAACGCTACTTAAATGATAAAAGTAGAATGACGTAGAGTGGTGGCCATATTGTGAGATTGGATGAAGCTGGTTTGCTGCACGGTACGTGGGGCGGTGATCACTCCTCCCTCCTTTACATGTTCTGGTTAGTGGTGAGTGAAACTGATTGAGCAGACAACTGGACTCCATTCCCGAATGAAGGAATGAAGGTGTCTGCTGGGTGCCAAAAGGCAGCTCTACCGTCTTGACATCAATATCCACGTCCTTGTTGTTTGTTAGCTCAAAGCGGCCTGTAATGGTGGCAGCATTTGCCTCACAAAGTGAACTGCAAGGCTTACTACTGCTAGCATTATTTTTCGATTCATTGAGATGATCGTGCTTGCTAGTCCACACATTCCCCGCATGCGCATGTGGCACGTAGGCTTAGAGCCTTCACTCAGCTGGTCTCTGTATAAGTTGCAACATCATGCAGTGTAAAGTGGAGAGTGAGGAGGCGAAGGGCTGTGTAAATCGCGTTCCTCTTGCCTCCACATGTGCGTGTCGAGGGAGGGTAATTTGTGCTGTGTGTATCGAGACGGTGGAAGCACGTAGAGATGGGACCTGTGGTGGAAGTGGTGACAGCGAGGGTGTTGGAGCAGTTGGGGAAGCTGAACGTGGGAGTGGGCATGAGCTGAAATGGGATTTGAAATAAATGATGAAACAAATGAGTGAATGAGTGAGTGAGTGGAAAAGAGATGAGTGAGTAATGGTGGGAGTGGATGGTGAGGCGGTGGGTCGGTGGAGGAGGGAGGTG